AAAACTTTAAAAAGTAAAGCATAAAGCTGTCGGCGTCAATCAATCCATGAGGGATACGCCATGCATTCGGCTTCATTAAGCATTAAGTTGGAGGTGATTGAATGCAAATGTAACCTTTACGTCTCGCGGTGGCCTACCGACGTATCGAACCAGTGCCGCTATCCTCCCAAATAAGTCTGGTACCAATTTGCCGAGCCCGGAGTGACGGAGGGCTTGGTCGGAATTGGGCGCGGGGATCTATTCTTCGTGTGTATGGCAAGGCCCATCCGACCACTGCGCCACACGCGCCCATGTATACATATATATTTACACACCATGCACGGTTTTATACATATACATAGACATCCATATATATGTATATATACATATGTTCGTGTATCGAATCCTAGTGGAATGGAAACAACACAAGGTCTCGTGTGGTAGGGGATTAAAACTGAAGGTTTTCTACTGCTATGCGAGTTAATGAACATACCAACTTCTGAATTACTCTGTTCCCTTGAACTACTTTAAAGATAAAAAAGACAACAGCTGCTTTCGACTTCGACTTATGGAACTTCGAAGAAAATGGAAACTTTGTAGCAAAAATGCATGCTGTATAACTTACAGTCTGAGATCGCGGAAACTGTGAATGGAATGTAACGGGGAACGTGGGTCATTCCTATCCAGAGAGATGTCTATTCCACTGTTCTGCATAAGATCAACCTTTTTGTGAAGAAATTTATTAAGAAGGGCGACTTCCTCAGGCCTCATCGCTGAAAACGATAACCACTTATTGTCAAAGCGCCCGATTTGACCTTCAAGGAAAAACTAGACGAAAAAATGCATGTGGAGAAAACCAACGTTTCTCCATGATGTCATCGTTGACTGACGTTGATTTCGGAGCTACATACTTGTAAGGATTAGTCTACAAAAATGGCCATCATTAACTTATAATCGAGAGATTTGAATAATACACTGTTATATCTTCAAATTCAGCATCAAAAGAAGGAAATCAACAATATTACACACAAGTGAAATCACACGTGATTGGTATAAAATCTTCTATTTGGCCAACGTTTCGGCGCATTCGTCTTCTTTAGGGTAGCGTTGATAAAAGTCGATGGTCCACAGTTGGTCGTCGCCGCATCGAGTAAAAGAGACACTACCGAATGAGAATCCTCATTCGAGCGGTGTTCACTCCAATGGATTCGACTCGATGCAACAACGAAAATCCACATCGCGACAACGACCAGGTGTGGACCATCAACTTGGATCAACGTGGCTCTGAGGAAGGCGAAGGCACTAAAATATTAGCCAAATAAAAGGTTTTGTACCAGCCCCGTGTTATCTCAATAAGGTAGAAAGATTTTTAAAGTAGAAGGAGGAAATCTTTTTCTGTGACATATGCAGACGTAAATAAAAATAATTACAATAGAGCAAAAGAAACATACCGCGTTTTGAAGTGGGTACTGAAAAATTGAATTACCTCGTCCACGATACCCACTTCCACCTGGAACTGAGAAAAGAAGAACAAATGCAGTCCACAAAACAGTCAAAAAACTTCCAGATTATACCCTGTCGTCGGCCATATGATGATTGTGCTTGCATGCCAGCAGGATAGTCGTATACACTGGCGCCGTCGGCAATAGCTTCAAAACAAAATTTGCTTTAATGTTTTAGAATAAATGGGATCTTCTATGGACAAGGAATACAGAGGTGGGAATAGCTATGAACTGAGAGTATTTGGTTCACAAATAGGAAAATAACGAAGCAACGACTGGTTATTTTCTTAAGTACACATGAGGTTGCTATTATAATACATTATCTATTCGCAATCCTTGAGAGGGATTCCTGGGTATTCGGCTGCGATTTAGAGCGGAAGGATTCATCACCCAGCATGGCCTCCCAAGTTGAGGAGACCGGCGTTTCCGTCAGGAAGTCCAGCCAAGAGTAAACCAATACCAGGATCCATCACCGTCCTGGCATCAAATTAGTCACATGGTGGCAAATCTCCCTCCGATTGATAAGGGCCGCTAATGCCTGTGGTGGTGACGACCTGGGGTAGGCCTTGGTTAACCTGACATCGGTGCTCCAAGAAAGCACAATGGATAGATCAGCAAAATTCCGAAAAGTGGAGCTTACGCTGGGGCCTGCACAACCAGTGAGGACGGATCGTCCAAGTATCCAAGTAAATATATGTTATTCGCTTACAAAAGCCAGCGTTTCGGCAGATTTTCCCTTTAGAGCATGGGAACGTCATATTAACTGCAATCTAGCCAGCCAAACACCTCCACAACCCCAAACGAAAAACCATGGCGTCTAATTTGAGGTGGATTTGAAATTTCCGTTGGGGTTATGGGGGTGTTTGGCCGAATAGATTGCAGATGAATTGACCTTCTCAGGCTCTAAAGAAAACGAATTCCACCGAAACGTCAGTTACTATGAATAGATGGCATAAATTGTAACCTTGCGAGTGCTTGTTAAATCTAGCGAATTGCTAATCAATGCCGAAGTTAACAGAAACGTCTGAGTATTACAAAGCAATGACATATATCAGACAAAATATCAAAAAACAAGTCAAAATAGACGAGAATAAACCAATAGAAAGAGACAAAGTTACAGACAAAAAGAAATACCAGCCATTGATATTCCATACGTATGTTGCGGTGGTGGTTCTCCCTTAAAGCTCGACGTAGAATTCCTGAACCCTGAAAATTAACCCTACATGTTTCGACCAGACACTATACTCCGAACCCAAAATCATAACAGTAGCCGATCAATTTTCGTCTGTGCAGAGGTTAATCCGGGCAACAAGCTACCCCTGGAGAGAGGATCGCCTGAATGACGTTTATGAGTTGTTCTTCTCATAAATTCAGATCTAACCCCATTATCGGGTTAGTCTTAACGCGACACACTCTCAACCTCCAAGAATCTTTGTAATCCTTACCTTTTGCTTCGAAAGAGTTTTACTATGTTTTCTATTCGTTCGGTGAACAGCCATTAATTAAAAGTTAAGAAAGGTTTTTGTATTTCTTTTTCACGAGAAACTACTTTTAAGTACAAGCGAATCAAACTGTGATAAATGAACGGTCAGCAAATGCCCATACTCGCACACTAAAAAGTAAGGCTATTGATTCCATCTGTTCAGAATATCGATCAAGTTCGTAGTAAACTGAATTGCAACGATAAACTGGACGATATTAATCCTCCTATTGTATTCTCCTGCCCGAACATGGCTTGTTTGAATCGCAAACGTGAACTCACCGTGAATGGAAACTGAACTGCCACCACCGCGAAACATCGATCCGGCCTTCAATAGACAAAAATTAGAACATAAAGGATACGAATTAAACAAATAACGAAAGAAAGAAGTATAGGAGCTAGAGACGGTTGTTGACTGCTAGCACGAAGAAATAGCCTGACCCTCTTCGATGTTTATGTTTCGTGACAAACTCAACGGACGATAACTAAATGCCGAAAGTATGGACGAAAACTATTGGAACGTTCTCGTGCATCGTCTTAATGTAGGATCACATTTCCGAAAGCACGATCAGATTGCGAAAACAACAAAACATCTACTGTGAATATGATAGTAATCGATCGATTGCGTAACATGAACCGGTGCTGTGTCGTCGTCAATCGATGGCTAGTCCAAGCCCTGGTGGCTTGGCATTTCCCTAGCCAGCTGGTTTCGTACGAGGCAGGAATTTAAGTCAACGACTTTTCGTTGGTAATTGAGATCCGTACTTTGGAAGGTACGGAGTGCGATAAGGAGTAATTTCCAGGAAAGGTGAGTGAAAGCCTCAAACCGACGACTTTGAGGGTACCAGTCGCCGCAAACACTTGTTTTGTCCAAATGGTTTTACACTTACTCTACACTTTGCCGTTCGTCGAAGGAAAAACAGTTGCGAAAACAAGGCCATTCGTCCCCACACTAATCGATTTTCTCTTAGTTACAAGATTAATAACTAGCAGGATGATTTATAAACTACTGGGACCATAAACAGCCTAATGGTAACCACACTATTTCACTTGAAGTCAGGATGTGCTCAAAATAATGAACGAAAAAGTGCTCAGAACAGTTGGAAAGGTGAAGATGTGACGTGTAACAAGATCTCTAATCGATCGATAAAAATCGAAACGATCGATCAGTGAGGATCGGATTGCTTAAGGCAGGAATTTTGGTGGTCTTCATCATAAAATCTAATGCCAGTTGTATTATGGAGTATTTCAATTTACGTCTGCTTTTCAGCACTGTCATTTCAAATAAAAAATTATTTGCATGGATATCAATGCGTAGAGAATATGCCTGTATCCCAGATTTTTTATAAGCACAGCCTACCATATTCTACTGCAATTCCGAAGAAGACGAGAAAATACAGTAACATTTTAAAGGGTAAAATGTTGATGTAGCCTTATGTGACGGACTTAAATTGTACTTGTAGGTGAGTCAAAAACTAGTAAAAGAAAAAGGTAAGGTCACTGGAATTCGTATTGAATTGTGGTTGGAGTACACAGCAGAGCATGTCATCGAACAAATCCCGATCGATATCTTAGCGATGATGTGTAGATCCCAATTTTGACAGCTGCACAATAAAACACCCCATTAATTGCGATATTAGGTCTATGGTTGAGATCAATGCATACGGTCCGAAAGAAGTACTCCGAAATCAGAGACACCTTAGTACCCTCCTCTTGAACAGCAGTATTTCGGTTTGCTCTAACCGAACTACAAGCAAGGGATCGTCGAAGGACTCATGGAGGCGAATAAACTCGTCCTCATACCGTTCGTTTGGAATTTCAGTACGTAGAAAATGGTTTTTCCGGGTTTACGACGGGTACGACATCTGTAGAAAAGAGGCTACCGATATGGCGTAAAAGCCTACAGAAAGGTTTGTACGATAGACATTACAATCAGAAAGAAGGCGCATTGAAATCGATGCATATGGTCATGAATGTGTTCAATCATGTGAATGTGAATTTGAAGGCAAATTTGAATAGTAAGACGACTACTATACTACTAATACTACTATAAACCTCAGGGGTCATGTCGGGCGCAGCTTCGGCCTTGACCTGCACGTCATAGCTAGCCGACGAATCAGACGACATTTCTAGCCGTACACTTGTTGCATCTGAAGTACTACGAAATACTGATGAAGACTGAGAAGTTCTCATGGGAGAACGTTCCCACCTGAGTGGAGGCGAGGTCGTCGGGATGTGCTGAGTGAAACGCGGTCAATAACGAACGACCAGCTACCGCCACTGCCGTCGCACTGATCGGAACTCGCTGTGCAAACGAACGGAGGTGGTCCTTGATCAGGACCGAACAGCCTGTAAGCTCAGTAAAACCACTGATTCGTAGCACATCTCCTGTAGGCGAATTCAATAATGATTTGTACAGTTACAACTAATTTCAATACAGTATCGAAATCCTCACCACAATTTGTCCTATACAAATTGGTCCACGTCCAGTTGGTGGCAATATCTCCAGTCCTATTCCCATTAACATTCAAGTGACTCACTCGATCGAGCGCCAGTAAACACCAACCAACACAATAGCACCTCACTGATCTCTTCATATCCACGCTTGAGGAATATCAGAGGTATCACTCTCTAGTCATGGCTCCTGTTTTCAGCGAAAAAGTAGCCGCATGTGGCTCGTGTGCTGAGTTGTGGCATAAATATACTCTTAGTTGGATTCTCAATGGAAAATTTCAAATGCGTCTACCAAATTCCCGGTCTAGGCTACGAAAATCTTGACTAAAACAGTCTAGCACGGAGAACGGATGAGTGGAGACTACGCCAGCGCGCTCGAGTTGTTCGCCGGTAAAGATCAGTAGGCAGGACAGGTGAAATCCCTGTTCACTTAAACATAGAACTGAAAGAACACCAATGTAGGAAGTAGAAACGGATAAGTCTTCCTATCATCAATATCTCGTGTGGCGCAGTGGTCGGATGGGCCCTGGAATACACATGGGATCGATCCCGCACCCAGGGCCCACCAAACCTTCCATCCCTCCGAGGTCGGCAAATTGGTACCAGACTTGCCTGGGAGAATGGCAGCAGTGGCTCGATATATCGGTAAGCCACGGTGAGTCATTGTAATGGCCAGATATGCATTCAATCATCTAAAACGATGCTTAATGAAGTCGAATGCATGACGCATCCCTCAGGGACAGAGATCAACGCCGGGAGCTTTAACCATTTACCTGTATCATCAATATCAGCTTCTGGAATCCGTTTGAATTCATGCAGACGAGTGATTTTGTAGCCTAGGTCAGGAACTTGTGTTGGGAAGGCTTTCCTTCCCAATGAGTATAGTTTTTTGCGGGAATTTGCAAGAAACTGTTGATGTTTTTTCGCCTGGAAACAAAAGTTTAATACATAAGGATAGAAAAGAAATATGTAGGGTGCGCACAACAACAAGCTATACAACCATCTTTCGCCACCCAGGGAATGTCGTCTATTCAGTAAAATATCTAAGTCCATAAAAAACTTCTATCTCTATAGGTCAACATCATATGTTAACAGAAGCAGTGAAAATCCACATCCGTTTTCTGTTGTATTTATAGACGAAAGACGGGTGTACTTAATCGGAGGAGACTAATCTTTCAAGTTTCACAAGAACGTTCTATCTCTGTGTCTCACTTTCTGGTGCAGAAATTTATCGTGCGGTTAGTTGAAAAGCTACGTACGGATAGATCTTGCTACAGATCTACTATTTTGAAGAAAAAAAGCAAAAGTAAGAAATTAGTGTAGCGACGATTTGCTACATAGTGTTGGCATCTCTAAAATAAGCACTTCCTGTGCACTGTCATGATACGATCATCTTCAGTGGCCCGTGTATTGCACACGTGAATCGATTAGTAATTTTAGAGCACATTCGGAATAACGCTTTCAAACTTGGACAGAAAGCAGCGGTAGTAATTCGAAATACAATCATAGTGTGGACCAGAGAATAGCTCTCAGACGCACAATGGATGGTGACATCTCAGTATTTCGCAGCGATGATATTAGCTCGGACACGGAGAAGGCAATGAAAGCGGCCATAAGCTGTTGACATCAATCGACCAAAGCAGGTAATTGAAGCAGTTTATCTGAAAACTACTGGAAGGGTTGCTGAGAAACTCAACACGGACAATCCAGCAATGGTTCGTCATTTGAAAGGCAGTGGAATGCTGAAGAAACCTTGTAGGTGGTCCTTCATTAATTAAATGAATAGCAATGACAGAAACGACCTAGTTGTCTATCCCATTGTAACATGTGATGTTGACTGGATACTACGCGACAGAAACGATTTTCAGCTCAGTGGTTGGACGAAGTCGAAGTTTCAGGCATTTTTTAAAGCCTGATTTTCTCTAAAAGACTGTTGGAGGATTGTTTATTGAGCCGCAGCCGGAACACACCGTAACCATTTGCGTTGTGATGAAACGATTATGACCAGGGGAGTACTATCAAGAAATGTAAAATTATTGCTAGAGTGGATGAGTAGGGACACCGATATGAACAAAAGAAAAAGTTCACATTACATTTTCAGGCATGAGAAATTTCGAACTCGCGATGTACGATTATGTAAAAATTGAATGAGTTAGGATACGAAGCCTTCAACCACTCATTATAGTCATTGGATCTCTCGCTACCCAAACATTACTTTTTGAGCCATCTCTACAACTACTGGCAAATTTGGAAAACTTTTCGCTCATATCCATTTGACGGACAATACAATATATGACGAATAGAACAAGCTTAATAAGAGAACACTTATACAACATTTCAGTATAAATACCCAAGGAGTAGACCATGCTGGCAAAGAGGGTTGCGAACACAAGACCTTTGGGGGCGGATAGCACAGTGGTAGTGATGTCCGTCACCACGAGCATGGTGCTAGTTCGATTCCCCACAGGATCAATGAAGTCCGTCATCCCTCCGGCGTCGTAAAATTGGTCCCGCCCTTGTTTGAGAGAGAAATCACTCTCTGCAATCCAATTAGGAACGCTCCAGCCCGGCCATCCCAGAACTCCAAGGAGGGTTGCTCGACTAGCATTCTACCACATTCAAGATTAGATGAAAATCCTCAAAGTGCTCAAAGGGTAGACGTGAAGACGGATCAGATACAATAAAATAAAATAAATAAAAAAATTGTGCTGATGAGAAGGAGACTGCTATTCGGCCATTATATTTCACATAAGAAAGGCAAGTTTTGGAATAATTTGTTGGCGTGGTGTGCGAGGTGAATACACAAACAAAATGGTGTAGTTTATGCAGGTAAAGGGTAATCCCTCGATGAATATCAGTGCGAAAGAATAAGTTGTGATAAAGCTTGTCGACGACTTTTTAAATGAAGAAAAATGTTGTCTCTAATTGAAAGACAAGTGCATCTATGGTTGTAAGACCGCTTCGAAGTAACAGTCATCCTATTTGGATGCATGGAAAAGACAAGAGAAGTGTTCCTAAATAGGTTACAGAGCAGGAACTGAGTAGAGAACGCGTATAGGCTCATTAAAATCAAAGCAGATTGTGGTTTCCAGGTGAGCGCAGTCAAAGGATATAATTATGCCGTCCTCCTTGGTTGGTAGGACCAATCCAGGCAACTAATCCAGGTAACAAGACATCGGAATCTACGATCAAGGAAAGCTTAATATGGACACAGGCTATCGGACCATGTTCCACTCTCTGTGCTTTAGAAGACATGGCAAATGGTAGGTTAGTTGTGCTTCATTTGTGGCGAAGGACCACGCAAATTTCCATTTCCAGAATGCGGGGTTCCTTCGTTCCCTTCTTGTACATAGCTACAACCATGTTGGAAGAACCTACCTCACTCGGCAGATCGATGGGGTACAGAACGGTCCTTGGTCAATTACCAACCAAAATTATTCGTTTCCTTTCTGACAATCCATACTGAAGTTGAGCTAACATTTAACGACATTCATTACAAAGGTGAAAGACGTCTAGCAGCAATCTAACGCATGGCAAAACTTCGAAAACCTTCCTTCATAAAGGAGGAGAAAGAAATAAATCAAAAACAACAAGTAATGGGGTTCAGAGAATATGATAGACGACGCCGTACAATGCAAAAAAAAGCAGAGGGAACTACCAAAGCAAACTTTCAATTCCGATATTCATTGAGCTTTATCTGCTCAAAAATTGAACGTTCAACACTGAAGAGCTCAGGTTTCTCAGCTGGTCCTCCTTGTATCGTCTCCTTACCAGTTCTTCTGAAATATTCCAAATGAGACAGCCATCGCTCTTTCCATTTATTTTACAACCCACAGTACACAATTTATGCACAAACCAATAAGTAAATGTGCGATAAATAATTACGTATAATTTCTCACAATAGGTACTCTTCAAAATATTTATCGTACTACTAATATTTACAAGCAATGCCTTACTAAGCCGACTTTCACTTAACCTTGGCATTCACCTGATTCATCAGTAGTCCCGTTGATCGTCGAGTGACTCGAGCGGGTGCAAGTAAATCTTCCATTTCTCTCTGTTGCAAGCAAGAGTAGGCCAGTGGATTCTGCTCGCTCTAGGGACTCCTCAAGTATTATATCTTTCTGCTAGTCTTTTCGTGAAAAACTCTGACCATCGGGTAGGTGGTCTTCCTGCAGTGCGCAACACCCCGAGGAATCCAGTCACTACCGTCGCTTGCCCATCGGCTGTCATTCATACGGTCCACCTTATCTTCGACTGTTTGTCGTACAGAAAGGGATTTTCGATTTTTGACTGTGGACGCAGGTCGCAGCTTCAGACTCCTTCGTCTACTTACGTGAAACTCCTAGCATCGTCCTTTCGACCGCGCGTTCAATGACGCTGAGTGATTTTTCATCCTGTTTACGCATCGACCGGGTTTCTGACGGATAAATTAGGGCAGGAAGTAACGTTGAGTCGAAAAGGTGGGCTCGGAGTCGGGTGTTCTTTGTCCTCTTTACCACACCCAGATGCCCTTGAAGGCTCCCCAAGCCGCTCTATCTCTTCTGCTCAGCTCTGGTGCTAAGTCGTTCATCATATTGATTTTCCGACCTAGATAGACATAACTGGAGCATTCGCGGATATTCGTTCCGTTGAGCGTGAATGATGCATACGAAACCAATCCGTTCCTCATGAACATCGTTTTTGTGAGATTTAGTCGAAGAGCAATCTTTCCACAGACTTTATTTAAGTCGGTAAGCATACGTTCCGCTTGGCTAATGTTTGGTCTTATAAGGACGATGTCATTAGCAAAGCGAAGATGGTGTAATTGCCGACCGTCGATTTTCACTCCCATATTATCCCATTCCAATGCTCGCATAATGTTCTAGAGGGTGGCGGTAAATAATTTTGGCAA